AGAAAGAGAACTTGTGCTTTGTACTCAATCCTCCCAAAATCTATTTCCATAAATATAGCTACAAAAGGGGGAAAAATAGAGAGACACATGTAGAGAGATAAATGACAAGTGTTGCCTTTCAATAGCCACTTGTCCCTCTCTTCACATGGGTCTTTCTTATTCTCTACACAAAGCACTAGCTTATCTTTCTCTCCCTAAAACCTCTTTCTCTCTCTTATGCTTCCTTGTGAGCTGGGTGTAAGGGACGTGCCTTTCATCTATGTGAGAGCCCTCCAGTGTCTCATGATCAGTTTTAGCACCGTGTTGCATCTTGAAGAAGCTTTATCTCTCTAGATTATTTGGTAACAACTGTTTTGTAGGAAACTTGTGTTATATATATTGCTGGAAACTCATTTTCAGCCACATTCTCTCTCTTGAAAAGCTATCAAGCTTCTGTATCTAGAAAAGGTATCAAAATGTGCCTACAAATTCATACGAATTTGGTGAGTTTATTCCAACTTTTTTTTTCATCTTTTGCATCTAGAAATACTACAAGAAGGTTGGAAAATATTGTATGAGCAAGGAAAAAGGTATTCGGCATCATCTTATATTGTTGGAATGGTTTATGATGGGTTTTTTATGAGTGCATGCTTGCTGGAAATTCTATTGGGATTGCTTAGAAGAGCTTATCAATAGTTGCAATTGATTTTTGGTTGAGATTCTTAAGTGGATTACAAAGTTAGTGATATTTGTACATCTTGAGTTCCAAAGAATTTACAACAATTTTTGTGGGTATTTTGATAAGAATTGCATGCCATATGTTTGGGGATATTTTTGATTGAGTTCAAAACCCAACTTGAATGTTGAAATATTTCTGTTTACTTCTAAAAATCTTAAAGATCCACTGTATTTGGGCCAACATCAGATACATCTGAGCTTCAACATTTTCAAATTTTTTGGTAGTTAGACTTCAACATTTCAATGGATATAGAGATGTTGAATGAATTATTCTGTTGAATCATTGAATGCCAATCAAACACTTTAACACCCATTTTGCAAAAGTAAAAGCAGCAACATCCTCTATGAATCTTCACAATCACAAATAAAATTGGAATCCCAGCCAGTTATAAATCCCAATTCGTCTAATGCACAACTATAAGACACAAACATGAGATCTGGTATATCACCAAAACAACCCTCCAATTCAAGCAAGTCTTCCTGATATTCAATGTGACAAATATGCAATCAAATACTTCTGTTTTGCATAATGTAACCAATCAAATATAGACCCAATGTTGAACAATGTAAAGAACCAATTAAATATGAAGAACAGCACTCAATGATGCATCCATCAAATAACCCACTAATCTGAAAGCCTAGAACAAATGAAACCAAAACCATCAGAATCTACAGGTGACCCAGGAGAGGAGTATAAAAAAACGAAAACAAACGAATGCACCCAAAAACTTAACGGTATCAACAAGGTATCAATGAGAAAGAAAGCAATATAAGTACCATCTTGAGTTACAAGAGGGTATTCAGAAGCCGACAGATTGATAAACCAGTCCCAGTCGCCACCATATCGAAGCAAGAGAGCAGCGCCATGAAGCGTCGAGGCAACGGCAGATGATCCCTTATGGTTAGCAAAATCAGCTTTTCCAACCACATTGATGTTTTGGGCAGTCACGAAAGCAGGAACATTCCGAACCATGATAGCAAGATCTCTTCGCTCTTGTGCAGTCGCAGAGAGGTCCAGGTGAAGAAGGTAATGGTTATTGGGGTGATACAGAGCCAAAAGGAGTCGAAAGATTTTCTGAGCTTCACCATTAGAGCCTGTAATGAAGTAAGCAAGGGAAGGGGGAGAAGGGGGGCTTGGACCTGCAACTAAGAGCTTGGGGCCCAAATGGTTTGGGAGGCCACGGAAGGTTTTGAGGGAAGAAGAAGATCGAGAAGATGAGACGAGCATGAGGAGGAGAGTGAAAATGGATGCCCCCAATAGAGGGTAGAGCCATTTTCCCTCCTTGGTGGTACCCACTCCCTGCATCTCTCTCTCTCT